AAGAATAAAATCCCAAAACAAAAAGCTAAGAAAAAAAAGCGGGACTAAAAGTAAAGCAAAAGCTAAAAAAACAGCTTTTTGATTTTATTCTTTAAAAAGGTATTTTTAAATAATTATAAAACTAAGTTAAGTGATATAGCTAAATAATTTCACATATTTGAATAATTTTTTGAATACTTCCGATATTATGAGAATTTAGTTTGATATTTTAATATTTATGAGTGGATTTGATCTTTGATATTGAATATTTTGATATTTTATTATTTTTGGGGTCTATGTTTTTATATATAAGTTAAAAAAATATAAATATTTTACTAAATTAGATTATTTTTTTCATGACAAATCCTAAAGTAATTTTTAAGAGAAAGTGAGAAACGCTTTATTGATATAAAATTTAATAACCTTTGCTAAATAATTTCGCATAGAGATTTTCCAAAGAATCTATGCCTAAAAGCTAACATAGATTATGTGCAGGGAATATTAATTGATTATAATTTAATGATGTATAAGTGTGTGATCAAATTTATGGATAATGACTTTTGGCTTCTCTCACTCAACAGATAAGAATTTTCAGTCTCTCATCTTCACCTCCAAATCTCCATTGTTGTGGTAAAATCATAGCTTCCTCAAGATTCTGTGCGTTTACATATATTAGTGATTTTCATGTTGAAGCTTCTATTATAGTTGCAATTGTTCTACATCTTTCTTAGGGTTCATATCTTTTTTTAAAAGAATTTGTTATCTACTTGAAGACTTAATGTGATTTTGCTTTCAAGATAAGAGGTAGGAGTAGATCAAAGGCATAGATTCATTTATGTATTAATGGTGGTAGCATATCATGGGAAGCAAGCATTCCAAGGGAACAACTTCCACTAGTGATCCAGTTCCATTTGAAAGTGGTCGAATTCCTTTGGCAGCTTTGCAGGAAGCAACTAACAATTTTGATAACAAGTATCTCATTGGAGAGGGTGGCTTTGGAAATATTTACAGGGGTGTTTTGTGTGATGGCACAAAGGTAGCCTTGAAAAGGCGTAAACTTGAGTCCCAACAAAGTATTGAAGAGTTCCGAACAGAAATTGAAATGCTCTCACAGCTCCGCCATCCGCATCTGGTTTCATGGATGGGATACTGTGATGAAAATAATGAGATGATTCTAATTTATGAGTATATGGAGAATGGGACCCTCAGGAGCCACTTGTATGGGTCAGATCTACCCACTATGAGATGGGAACAGAGGCTGGAGATATGTATTGGGGTAGCCAGAGGTCTGCATTACCTTCATACTAGCGGAATTATACATTGTGATGTCAAGTCTACAAACATATTGCTTGATGAGAATTTTGTGCCAAAAATTACTGATTTTGGATTATCCAAGAAAGCGCCTGAGCTTGAACAAACTCATGTTAGGACAGTCGTGAGAGGAACTCTTGGCTACCTTGACCCTGAATATTATATAACGGAGAAACTGACAGAAAAATCTGATGTTTATTCTTTCGGTGTTGTTTTATGTGAAGTTGTTTGTGCTAGGCCTGCAATAGATTCATCTCTTCCGAGGGAGCAGGCCTAGCACAAACACCTTCACAACTCAAACAAAGCATAGATCCCAAACTTCAGGGCAAAGTAAGACCAGATTCCCTCAGGAAGTTTGGAGAAACAGCGGTGAAATGTTTAGCTTATTCTGGTGTAGATAGGCCATCTATGGGTCCTGTGCTGTGGAATTTGGAGTATGCACTTCATCTCCAAGAGCCTGTAATTCAAGAAAACAGTAGCATCCCTATTGGCGAGCTATCACTGCAAATCAATGATTTCAGTCATGTTGATGCCAGTTCTAATGCTGCTCAGATCGGGACATTAAATTCGTACATCTCTCTATGAGGTTATAAGTCTGAGATAACTAAGTGAAAATGGTACATACCTTCCTTAGGTGTTTGTTAATTCCACTTGGGCTGAGTTGTATATTGAAAGAATGTTAACTTTGAAAATATGCATTGTTCTACCAGTGGATCCTCTTTTCATTTATTTTTTGAGAAGTAACAACAATTTCCCTTTCTCATGAACTGTTTCTAATAACAAGTGATAGATTTGGGACATTAAAGTTGCATCCTATTTGGTCAGTCTCTTCAGGAGATCCAAATTGTTTGCTCAGTGTTGTCATCCACGTGTCAACTTTCTTTGAATAATTCATCCTTGAATCATAATTATATTCATTCTTATGGGAATGGGAATGAAAAACAAGAGATACTTTTTATCGAAAGATGGAAATTTTGTCTATTTGGTGTTGAAAACCTTATGATGTTACATGAGGTAATAAGCATAGTCTAGTATGAAATATGATCTTTCTTTTTAGAATATCATCATATTGTTTAGTGACGACCTCCTGCTTACATATCTTCATTCTTTTTTTCTTATATATATAATGGTGGTGTCTGGTCCATCTGTTGCGTACCTTGGTAATTCCACCAGTACAAGTATCAGGTACCATTCAATTACTTTTTCTTAGAACAAGTAATAAATTCCTTCATAATTCAAACTGTAATTGCTTAGTTTCATGACTGGTCATACTTGAATGGTTCCCTCAATATGTTGTTCACCACGTCTACGCACTTAAATATTAGAGATTTTCTTGTTGAAGATGTATACTGGAAGTTTCTTGCTGCTTGAAAAGCATCATCGGAGACACACCATTGTGCAACTTTGAGGTTGTCCAGTTTAAAGTATTTGAGCTCAGAGAACTCTGAATATTTCACTTCCCAAAGTAAAACATACATGAAACTGTTGATGTTATTGATTTATTTTTTATGGCGTTTGAGTGTTTATGCTCAGTTCTAAGCACTGTTTATGTCCAAATTCTGGAATTGCGAAACTCCATTTTTTTGAGTTCAACATGTATTCAAATTCAAGTTAGTTTACTGTGGGGGAAACCGCAAAAGTAACTGAATGGATCAGTCTTTTAGTTCTCCCAGATTAGAATATCAAAGGAGGGCATTGCAGATGCCTGGGGCAGCAATGACGTCTTCTAAGGCTAGAAGACCACCGGAAGACACCTATGACTATAACATGTTGTGAAAAAAGTAGCGCTGTAACACCTAGTATTCAACATTGGCCCGAGGCATTTTCTCTACCCTTCTTACCCTGAAAAAGCAGAGATAGCTTACGTTCTTGAACCGATTACCATCTTTTGCTCTGGACCAATAAGGGGCAGTAAAGTACAGGAATATTTCCCTATTGTCCATCGACTACGCCATTAGGCCCTGACTCACCCTCCATGGACAAACCTTACGGATAGGTTTTTGAGGCATTGGAATTTCACCAATGTTTGCGTTACTCGAATGGTTGTTGTCCAATTCTTTTTTTCAACTTTTAGCACTGTTTTCCAGTTTTTTTTTTTTTTTTTAATTCAGCTATGGGAACTTCCCTATATTTGATTTAGTTCTTATTTTGGAGGAGTGAATATTTATTCTGGCACCTAAAGTTTATTTATTTGGTTTAATTCTTAAATTCATTAATTCAATGAACATAAGCATTAAAATGGAAAGAGCTCCACATCCTTATAAATATTACATCTAAATTATACACTACATTCCTGTATACATACAAAATAAAACAATAACCATTAATTCATCAATTATTACATCACAATTGCACCTCCTCTATAATAAACAATTATTTTGTGAGAGATAATATCACACATGGTCACTCAACTATAGAGTTCTATCTTAGAAGTCACTCAACTTTGATTTTTAACCCAAAAAGTCACTCAACTATATATGGGGTTTTTTCTCAAAAAGTCACTCAACTTTGATATTTAATCCAAAAGTGATTCAACGATCGGTTTTTCTCTCATAAAGTCATTCAACTATAAAAGTTTTACTTATAAAGTCACTCTATCTATTTAATTAATTTTTCATTAAAATTTGTTGATATGTAATTTTTATTTAAAACCAAAATTTTAAGAAATAAAAATATATTTAACTAAAAACTATATTGAGAAATTAAATCCCTCTGCATACCGTTGATTTTTCTATCATTTCAAATTAATTCCATTTATTGTAATATGTTCTTTTTTTTGGTTAAGAATCAACACCACGTCGGTCTTGGAACAATTCATAAATATCTACATTTAAAAGTTACACACTGCTGCTGATTAATCATGCACAAATATAAGGCCAAATGATTTGAATAGACATCTTTTTACTTTTTAGTGGGTTAAATTAATAAAATAATTTAAATAGATATATTTTTACTTCTTAAAAATTAGTTTTAAATAAAAATCGAATATCAACAAATTTTAATGAAAAAATCAATTAAATAGATACAAGTAAAACTTTTATAGTTGAGTGACTTTCTAATAGAAAAATTTATAGACTTTTGAGTTAAAAATCAAAATTGAGTGACCTAAAAGAAAAGCTTATAGTTAAGTAACTTTTGAATTAAAAGCCAAAGTTAAGTTATTCTCTAAGAAAAAAGTTCATAGTTAAGTGATCATCAATGATATTATCTCTATTTTTGCTTTCACCTTTACTTCCTTGGTGAATCACTCGAACTCACAACCTTAAGGTTGGAAGTGAGGGTGCTTACCGTCCGAGCAACTCCTTCCTGTGTCACAAGGATTAGTTATTCCATTTTCTATTTTGTATAAATTAATACATAGATTTCCTTCTAACTTATATATGTATTAATTATGTGAGTTTCTAAATTGTCAGTCAAACGTCGTATTCATCTGATACATAAATAACTTATTTTCTATTTGTCTGTCTTTTTTACCGTATAAGGCACAACGGTAGCCTCAACCCATACGGTAATATAATGCAGTTAGTTTGGGGGGAAAAATTAAATTCGTAGTTGAGTCACAGCAGAGCAGTGTTTTCGTATAGCTAAATGGATAATGAGGTGTTTGACTTTTGGGTTCTCTCCCTCTACAGTTTCAGTCTCTCGCTTCTGTTTTTATGTTTGTGATTTGATTCCTCAATTTTTACTTTGATTAATGGTTTTCGCACACCATGGGAAGCAAGCATTCCAAAGGAACAACTGATGGAATGCCTTTTGCAGCTTTGCAGGAAGCAACTAACTACTTCGATGAACGTTTGATCATTGGAGAGGGTGATTTTGGGGAGGTTTACAGGGGTGTTTTGTGTGATGGCACAAAGGTGGTCCTGAAAAGGCTGAAAAGGCGTTACCTTATGTCCGGACAAGGTATTGAAGAGTTCCGAACAAAAATTGAGATGCTCTCTCAGTTCCGCCATCCCTATTTGGTTTCATTGATAGGATACTGTGATGAAGGAAATGAGATGATTCTAATTTATGAGTACATGGAGAATGGGAACCTCAGTAGCCATTTGTATGGATCAGATCTACGTCTTCCCACTATGAGCTGGGAGCAGAGGCTGGAGATATGCATCGGGGCAGCCAGAGGTCTTCACTACCTTCATGCCAACGCAGTTATACATTGTGATGTCAAATCTACAAACATATTGCTTGATGAGAATTTTGTGCCAAAAATTACTGATTTTGGACTATTCAAGAAAGGGCCTGAGCTTGATCGAATCCAAACTACCAAAATTATGAAAGGACCAATGGGCTACCTTGACCCTGAATATTATAGAACCCTATGGCTGACAGAAAAGTCTGATGTTTATTCTTTTGGTGTTGTTTTATTTGAAGTTCTTTGTGCTAAGCCTGCTGTAGGTCGTTATCTTTCGAGGGAGATGGTTAGTTTTGCTGAATGGGCAATGTATTGGATGAAGAATGGGCAACTGGAATGCATCACAGATCCCAATCTTCTGGGAAAAATAAGACCAGATTCCCTCAAGAAGTTTGGAGAAACAGCTGAGAAATGCTTAGCTGATTCTGGTGTAGATAGGCCATCTATGGGTGAGGTGCTGTGGAATTTGGAGCATGCACTTCATCTCCAAGAGGCTGTCATGCAAGAAAACAGTATCATCCCTCTTGGCAAGCTATCACCGCAAATTAATGATTTCAGTCATGTTGATGCCAGTTGTAGTGCTGCTCAGATCGGAACATCAAGTTCGTATTGTGATCTCTCTAGTGATGATGATGCTATAAGTCCGAGATAACTAAGTGAAAATGGTAAATACCTTCTTTAGGTGTTTGTTGATTCCACATATGAATATTTATTTTTGGCTTTCGTAACTATTTATTTAACTAGGTTCTGAGTTGTATATATATAGAAATAATGCATTGCTCTACCTGTGGATTTGAGGTGTCCGGTTGTTTCGCATGTTGTGTATTCTTAGAAAAAGTAATGAAGTTTCATGTCAAATTCCATCATAATGCAAACTGTAATTGCTTAGTTTCATGACTGGTCATACTTTAATGCTTCCCTCAATATGTTGTTCATCATGTCTAAGCACTTAAATATTAGAGATTGTCTTGTTGAAGATGTATGTATACCGGAAGCTTAGGTTGTTGCTTCTTCAACTTTTCAAGAAGGCAGCAAATGATTGTACTCAAGACCAATAGAGTCCAATTTCTTAATACATAATATGTGTATCAAGTAACACTAGCAGTAATACTAACAAAATAAACATGTTCTGGCATAAAAGAAAAATGCACTCGTATGAACATATATATCACAGTCAAGGAGATAATCTTCTAGCCCAGTCAGGAGGTTACATTGTATATAGCAACTACGAATGCATTGTTTGCCATATATTCGCGCTGTGTAGTTTGAATTTCTTGAGTTGAATTGGCAATAGAGCAGCTATACTAGTTTACTTCAATGCTTCTTAGAGATACTTCAAGGGATTTTCTCAAGCTGCTTACATTTCATTGAAATAAAATGTTCAAAGCTTAGGAAAAGCATCATTCGAGACAGACCATTGTGCAACTTTGAGGTTGCATAATTCCAGTTTTAATTCGTGTGTTAGTGAACTATGCACGTTTAACCTTCAATTATTTGAAGTGTGTGATTTTGATCCTTGAAGTTAACTATTTAACAAAATGATTATTTGAAAATATAGAAGAATTAAAATTATATTCAATTTTTTTAACAAAATATACAATTAGAATAATTATCTTAAATATATAAAATTGATCTCATTTGCTTCTCTGTTTGCTCTGTTTTTTATTTATTAGCAACTCATTCTTCCTCTCTTTTTTGAATGGTTACTAATCAAGATCAAATATGATTACATTTGAAAGGGTTTAGTCGGTGAACATACTCCTTAAAGTTATCAATGGTGTCCTAACAATTTTTAGTCTTAAAAAAATTTAGCATCTAATTTTTATTTTTTATACACATAAATCTTCAAACATTTAAAATCATCAACCCTTCAATTTATTTTACTTTATATATTTTAAAATAATCATTTGGTTAAAATTAGTTAACTTTGTTGACTTAAATGACGAAAACTTGCAACATAGAAACTAAAATAGGAATAATTATGCAACAATACAGGGATTAGAATCGCTATTTCCCGTTTGGATAATGTTTTTGGCTTCACTCACTCTACAGTCTACAGTTTCCAATCTCTCGTTTTCTCCTCCAAATCTCTCACAACTTGTGTTCTGCTTACATTTATGTGTGATTTTCATGTAGAAGCTTCTATTGATCAAAGTCATGGATTCCTTTATCTACTAATGGTAATAGCAAACCATGGGAGGCAAGCATTCCAAGGGAACAACTTCGACAAGTCATCGAGTTCCTTTTGCAGCTTTGCAGAAAGCAACTAACAACTTCGATGAAAATTAGTTTCTCATTGCAGATGGTGGATTTGGGAAGGTTTACAGTGGTGTTTTGTGTGATGGAACAAAGGTCGCCTTGAAAAGGCGTAAACTTGAGTCCTCACAAGGTATTGAAGAGTTCCAAACAGAAATTGAGATGCTCTCTCAGCTCCGTCATCCCTATCTGGTTTCATTGATTGGATACTGTGATGAAAATAATGAGTTGATTCTAATTTATGAGTACATGGAGAATGGGAATCTCAGTAGCCATTTGTATGGCTCAGATCTACCCAGTATGAGCTGGGAGCAGAGGCTGGAGATATGCATTGGGGTAGCCAGAGGTCTGCACTACCTTCATACTAGCCGATTTATACGTTGTGATGTCACGTCTGCAAACATATTGCTTGATGAGAATTTTGTGGCGAAAGTTGCTGATTTTGGAATATCCAAGACAAGCACTGAATTTGATGAAACCCATCGTAGCACAGTCGTGAAAGGATCTTTTTGGCTACCTTGACCCTGAATATATTAAAAGCCTATAGCTGACAGAAAAATCTGATGTTTATTCTTTCGGTGTTGTTTTATGTGAAGTTGTTTGTGCTAGGCCTGCAGTAGATCAATCTCTTCCGAGGGAGCAGTTAAACTTAGCTGAATGGGCAATGAATTCGCAGAAGGGGGGACAACTCAAAAAAATCATAGATCCCAATCTTGTTGGCAAAATAAGACCAGATTCCCTCCGAAAGTTTGGAGAAACAGCAGTGAAATGCTTAGCTGATTCTGGTGTAGATAGGCCATCTATGGGTGAGGTGCTGTGGAGTGTGGAGTATGCACTTCGTCTCCAAGAGCCTGTAATTCAACATAATCCTGAAGAAAACAGTACCAACTAATATTTCACTTCTATTAGGATCATGTATAAAGTCGGAGCATAGGATTATGTTGACCCATTTTCAACCAGCCCATTTGCCACCACTAATCTCTAAGAAGCACTGAAGTAAACTAGTGTAGCTACTCTATTGCCAATTCAGCTCAGGAAATTCAAACAACAAAACACGAAGATATGGCAAATGAAGCATTCGTAGTTACTATACATCCTCTCGATTGGGCTAGAAAATCATCTCCTTGACTGTGATATGTTCTTTCCAAGTTCATCTGAGTACATGTGCAATTTTCTTTTATACCAGAACATGTTTATTTTGCTAGTATTATTTGATACAAATTATTAAGTAAGAAAATGAACTGTTATTTCTAATACAGAACTTTTTCTTAGGCTTATTTGAGGGGATGGGCAGCTAATTCAGGTAACTCTAACACCATACTGATCAAAATAAATGCAACTTTATAGTAAGTTGAGCAAATCAATTATACAGAGCTAGCATCCTATGCTCCTACATAGAGATGCATCATCATCAAAATGAGAAGGGATTTTCTCAAGCTGTTATGTTTCATTAAAACCAAATGTTCATGAGCTTAGGAAGCATCATTGGAGACGGACCATTGTGCAACTTTGAGGTTGTTTAATTTTAAGTATTTGAACTCACGGAACTCCAAATATTTCACTTCCCAAAGTAAACACACATGAAATTGTTGATGTTGTTGGTTTATCTTTTTATGTTTTTTGAGTGCTGTCCAATTTTTCGGTACTGCTTATGTTCAGTTCTAAGCATTGTTTATGTTCAAATTTTATGTCTAATTTATGGAATTGAGAAATTCTAAATTTTTGAGTTCAACATCTATTCACCGAATGGGTCTTTTAGTTCTCCAAGATTAGAATTTCAAAGGACGACGTTGCAAATGTCCAGGGCGGACATGACTTCTTCTAAGGCTAGAAGACCATGAGAAGGTGGACATGACTTCTTCTAAGGCTAAAAGACCATAAGAAGACACCCATGACTATAGGATGTCGTGAAAGAAACACATCACTGTAGTCCTGGTATTCGAACATTGGCTCGAGGCATTATCTCTACCCCTTCTTATCCCGAAAAAGCAAGAGCACCTTACACTATGAATACAAATAAATTTTATGGAGCTATCAATTGATTTAGAGGAGCCTACTTGATGAACAATGGAGAATTTCGAGTAGAAGTGTGGATGATCGTTGATCACTCAACTTTTGGTAATTGACCATTATAGTTGTTCAACTTTATTTTATCTTGTAAAAGTCACTCGCCTTTGCTTAGTTAGCTTTCATATTTATTTTAGTATGAAATGTAACTTTTGGTACCAATTTAATGACTTCGTAGTTGTAGATTTTAGAAAAGAACATTTTTTTAAAAATCAAAATTAATATTTAAATTTATTCGAGACCCAATCCATTATAATGACAAAAAAAATTGAAATCATCAATAGAAAATCAATGTATTTAGGACGAAAGAAAGAAGGCCATACATTGAAATGAAATTTCCCAAGAAAACTTTCATTTAATTCACTCAATTGAAAAAAATAAAATCACAATTTTGAATTCGAGTCTTGAAAAAGTAAAAAATCTTTGTAGGGAGCTCTTGCAAAGTTATCTTGATATTAAAATTAAGTGATACACATAAAAACTAATTTCCAAATTCAACTTTGAACTTGGTTTAGGAGACAATTTCTTTTTCATTTTTCTTGTGTTTGGAAATATTTAGTACTCCCTCAATCCTTATTACTTGTCAAATATTACCTAATTTGATTTTTCATTTTACTTATTATATTTTTAACAAATCAAAGAAGAATAATTTATTTTTCTTATTATACCCTCAATTTATTATCATTGAACTAATGTCTTTGAAATGTAGTGAGTAGATATATTTGGGACCCTATTAATAAATAGGGTAAAATGATAAACTTACTATATCAATTTTATTTTTTTAATAAGTGTGTTAAGTCAAAATTTGACAAATAAAAAAAGTACAATGGGTGTAAAAGAAAAAAATATCTAATTTTGCTAGCTATTTATCAATATAAAAGCACTATAAAGTCTTCAATACATCAATTTGGTGTTGACTACCCCCACCCACCAAGCTTGAATGAGGTGTTTGACTTTTGAGTTTTTCCACTGTACAGTTTCAGTCTCTGGTTTTCTGCAAATCAGAGGTTCCTCAAATTTCTGTTTTGTTTACATCTAGATGCTTCGCAATTGTTCCAGATCATGTTTTTTCTTTAAAGTATTTGTTATCAACTTGAAACCTTATTGTGATTTTGTTTAGGAGTAGGTCAAAGGCATGGATGGATTCCTTTATGTATTAATGATTTAGCACACCATGGGAAGCGAACATTCGAAGGGAACAGTTCCTCAAGAAAGTTTTCAACTTCCTTTTGCAGCTTTGCAAGAAGCAACTAACAACTTCGATGACAAGTTTTTCATTGGAGAGGGTGGATTTGGGAAGGTTTACAGGGGTGTTTTACGTGATGGAACAAAGGTGGCCCTGAAAAGGCGTAATCGTTTGTCCCGACGAGGTATTGAAGAGTTCCGAACAGAAATTGAGATTCTCTCACAGTTCCGCCATCCCAATTTGGTTTCATTGATTGGATACTGTAATGATAACAATGAGATGATTCTAATTTTTGAGTATTTAGAGAATGGGAACCTCTGGAGCCATTTGTATGGGTCAGATCTACGTCTACACAATATGAGCTGGGAGCAGAGGCTGGAGATATGCATCGGGACAGCCAGAGGTCTCCACTACCTTCATACTAGCAGAGTTATACATGGTGATGTCAAGTCTGCAAACATATTGCTTGATGAGAATTTTGTGCCAAAAATTGCTGATTTTGGAACCAGGAAAGGGACTGACCTTGATCAAACCCGTCTTAGCATAAGGATAATAGGAACAAGGGGCTACATTGCCCCTGAATATGCTATGAGGGGACAGCTGACAGAAAAATCTGATGTTTATTCTTTCGGTGTTGTTTTATTCGAAGTTCTTTGTGCTAGGTCTGCCATACTTCAATCTTTTGTAAGGGGCATGGTTAGCTTTGCTGACTGGGCAGTGGAGTTGCAGAAGAAGGGACAATTGGAACAAATCGTAGATCCCAATCTTCTGGTCAAAATAAGACCAGAGTCCCTCAGGAAGTTTGGAGAAACAGCGATGAAATGCTTAGCTGGTTCTGGTGTAGATAGGCCATCTATGAGCGATGTGCTGTGGAATCTGGAGTATGCACTTCATCTCCAAGAGCCTGTCATTCCAGATGATCCTGAAGAAGACAGTAGCTTCCCTATTCGCGAGCTATCACCGCTAATCAATGATTTCACTCATGTTGATGCCAGTTTTAATATTGGAACATCAAACTTGGATGATATCTCTAGTGATGAGGTTATAAGTCCTTGATAACTAAGTGAAAATGGTACATACCTTCCTTAGGTGTTTGTTAATTCCACTTATGTTTCCTGAATCATATGAATATTTATTTTTGGCTTTAGTAATAATTTATTTTACTAAGTTCTGAGTTGTATATAGAAAGAATGTTTACTTTGAAAACATGCATTGCTCTACCTGTGGATATGGGGTGTCCGGTTGTTTCACATGTTGTGTATTGTTTTCAATAGGTCTTTTCATGCATAGAAAATCATTAGTGCAAGTCTTTCCAAATCATGGAATAATTTTGAGCCTCTGGGAAGAACTGGTAACGTATTTCTTTGATACCGTTTATTCCCTCATCCATGTGTCAACCTTCTTTGAAGAATGAAAATGCAAAATAAATGGCTGAAGTTACCTTTGCACGATGGAATTTCTGTCCATTACCTGTTGAACACCTTATGATGTTACATGAGGTAATAAGCATAGTCTAGTATGAAACAAGATCTTTCCTTTTAGAGTATCATCATATTGTTGAGAGACAACCTGCTTGAATGTCTCCATTCATTTTTGGTTGGGCCCATCTGAACCGCACCTTGGCTATTCCACTGGTTACCTGCAACCTTCCACCAGGTATCAGGTACCATTCAACTTTTTTCCTTAGAACAAGTAATAAAGTTTCATGTCAAATTCCATCATAATGCAAACTGTAATCACTTAGTTTCATGACTGGTCATGCTTGAATGCTTATGTCAATACGTTATGCATTACTAAGCACTTAAACATCGGAGATTGTCTTGTTGAAGATGTATACCGGAAGCTTCTTGCTTCTTCCTGATGTGATTTACAGACAGCGTTTTGTTGCTTACATCTTTTCTTAGTATGTTTTAGACAGTTAATAGGCATTGAGTTTGCACTTTGTTTATAGTATGATCACCAAAAGGAACAAGAAATATTTGAACTATAATGAAAGTTATGGATTCTGATGGCTACTCCATAGCAGTGTTTCCTTAGTAATCTATGAAGTTGCATTTATTTGGTGAACTACCTAGATGACTCGAAACTCATTATAATAAGAAATAGTATTATTAGTTTCTCTTGTCTTTTTTTTCCCTTGGATAAATAAAAGTTTTATTAGGACCAGCCCACTTTAGCCCATAAACCCAATATTATGTGGCATATACAAGGTTTATTTGGTCTTATTTTCAGAAACACAAGAGAAAAAAATCAAGAGAGATTCGTTTTCGTTTTAGAGATTGAGAGAAAAAGAGAAAATTCCTGTTTTTGTTTCTGGAAATTTTCTGCTCAGGCAGTCCGCTTCAGACAGAGTTTGCCGCTTCGTTAACCGTTGGATTGTGCTCAAATTTGAAGTAGGAGTTCTCAGCATCTGGTTCTTGCAATTCAACGGTGGAGATCGGATTTGTAGGTCTGTAGCTTCTGATTTTGGGGAGTGAACAGTAGCTCGTTTTTGGGTGAAATCTGGATTTCCAACGCCTCAGGAAACTAGGGCTAGAGCTAGCCGGAAAAAGAAGGGTAAGAACCTTTATCTCGAAAGAGATTAAGTAAGGCAAGTTTCTGACCATTAATTCTGTAACAAAGGAGCGTAGAATTCCTCCTTGCTTTCCCCTTTGACCTGTGCCAAACTCCACTTTTGTTGTTGCCAGGTTTTCCTTTAATTCTCTAGTTTTGGTGCAATCTTGTTTTGTTGTTGCTCGTTGTTTGGCGCTTGTTTTGTGGCCAATTTTGGACAACAATTTTGTAACTCTTGGTGTTTATAGTGGACCTTTTGGTCCTGTGGTTTTTTACTCTTCACATCAAAAGGTTCTCCACGTAAATCGTTGTGTCTTGTGTGATTGACTTATTCTTAACTGCTTGTTTTTGTTTGGTTGATATACTTGTTGTCCATTCTTCGTATTGCTTGATTTGGTTTGTCTTCTCTTGGTTCAAATTGAATGGAAAAGTTAGACTTGAGTATTATTCCGCTGTTATCCTGTCGGGCATTCTTGTTAGTGCCTTGCCTTTCCCATCATTCCGGTGGAAAATTTCAATTTGAATTCTTCTATTGGCGCTGTATTCTTTAACAATTTTATGCATCTTCCAACAGTTGAGTAATCCTTGCAAATGCTTCTATTTTGTTTCTTTTGTATAAGTTTCATTTTGATTTATTGTCTTGCCACTATAGGCAACATGAAATAAGTATTATTTTGTCCTCGATTATGTGCAAATCAGTTAATTTGGTTTGCTATAATCGTACATAATGGCTTAAGCTATATTAATCATGTGCAAGGTCTTGATAGACAAAACAATAGCTCTTTGTTTGAAACAAAAATGTTATAATTTTGTTAGGATCAAATACTGTTTAAGAAACTGTTTCATCTTTTATTCGATATTCGTAAAACAAAATCCAAGTTTTGTCCCAGACTTCTAATGTTGGATATGTCACTTTCCCGCGAGGGATAAAAGGAGAGACACACAATAATTATCCAAAGGCAGCTTGAATAGTCTAGTCTTCTTCTCCTCCAAATCTCCACGAAAACTATTAATGGTTGCACTCCACACACCATGGGAAGCAAGTATTCCAAGACAACAACTTCCATAAGTGATACGAGTTCCTTTTGTAGATTTGCAGGAAGCAACTAACAACTTCGATGACAAAGTTGGAGGGCATAAATGTGAGCTAAGACCAAGCTAAATAGCATATTTATGTCTTATGCCTTGTTTTATTGTAGTTCTTGTTTTTGATATATGTCATTGTTTATTCTTGTTTTCAATAATCTGTCCTAGTATTGTGTTTATTGATTATAACACTATTTTATTGTCGTTTTTACTCCCTTCTGATAGACTTTTTGATAGCATCCATGTTACCCTGCTTGTACTAAAGTTGGCGGGTTACAATACAAAATTAAGAATATGTTTACCACGAAAGAGGTGTCCAAATTCAAGCCCAGAAAAAAGATTGGGCCACACAAAGCCCAATAAAAGAGTCCAAAAAGCTAAACGGATAAGTCAAAGTTTCCTAGTTTAAAAACTTCTTTATTTTAAAGTTTTCCTATTTTCCTAGTTTAAAGTTTCATAGTTTAAAGTTTACCTAGTTTAAAGTTTCATAGTTTAAAGTTTCATAGTTTAAAGTTTACCTAGTTTAAAGTTTTCATAAATGTAGGATTTAAATCTTATTCTATTTAGGATAGGTTTTCCCTATATATAGAGGTTGATTTTATTATTTTGAATAGACATGATTAATATTATTTGAGAGATTTCTCTTCTTTACACCTTTGTGTGTGGTGACTATGAATTTATCTTACAACCTTATAAGAACGATTTTTTAAGAGGTAAGATTAATTCTTAATTTGATATCTTTGGTTTCTATTCGTAAATTAAAGAAGGTGATTAGTCTTATACTAATTGTTGTCTCTAATTTCTTCGTAATAGGGGTCTAGATCACTGTTGATCTAAGTTCTTGAATTGACTCTATTAGTATCATAATTAGTTTTAGTTCGCTAATTTTGAATACTAAGATCAATTAGGGTTCTTAGCACTTTATTTTGAAATTGGGAATTTTATTCTTGAATTTCACATATCTTTCAATTTCTGTTTTTAATCCTTATAATTTCGCTTCTGCATTATTTTCTTGTTTATTTTGGTAACCTGATTCTTACCACTTTGTTTTATTTTCTTGTTGCTTACTATCTTTTCTTCACTGTCTCTTTCTTTTTCACTTGAGCTGAGGATCTCTCGGAAACAACTTTTCTACCTTTACGTGGTAATGGCAAAATCTGCATACATTCTACCATTCACATATCCCATTTGTGGGATTTCACTAGGTATGTCATTTTGTTGCTATCTTATCAAGAATATCACATCTTTCACGTATCTTTCTCATCCAACAAGGCATGATCACCGAACCTGCACTCAGGAATAATAATGCTTTGAAAAAGGCGTGATTCATTAAGTGAAAAACACTAACTAAATAGTTAGAGATGCCGCAAGCCAAAATCATAGAGCCTAATTGACTGGCTATGACCCTTTTTAGATCATTCTGTAATATTTCAGTGGTTGCCGCAAGGAATGATGTCATAATTCCTGCAAAGGTAATAACAATCAAAGTCGTAGGTGAGTATTCAAATATTCGGGAGCACCTTACTATCGTGAAAACATCAACTGTTATTATAGTAGCTACATGGATCAAAACGAATACTGAAATGAGACCTCCATAACATTACGTGACCAAGTATGCAGTTCCATTTGTGCAGATTTCCCAACAACACCAATGAAAAGTAAAATACAAATAAGAGTTATGACATTCAATCTAATCTCAAGAAATCCAAAAATTTCTAGGGCACTAGATTGAACAAAAAATGATTGAAAAGTCTACTATTTGAAATAAAGTAAAAAAAAAAACACAAGAACAAATTTGATCTTTCGTTTTTCTTAAAATAAGTTTTATATTATTTCATACTATATGTAATTCATATATAGGATAAAATAACACGAGATATTATAAATTTAAAATAAAATTTAATAATTTATTTAATTTGTAAAATTCCTACCGACCCCTCATCTGATGAAAGTCAATCAATCATCAATTATCTTTAGGGAGAAGACCAGAGTGATCAACTTTCGTCATCTCTTCCTTGTTTATGAACTCCGAGCTCTTAGATCTCACGTGTTAGTATTTTTTTTCTCTTTGATTTTCATAAAATGAAAGAAGAAATTGCAAGAAATACCTTCTTTTACTTTGTTAGTTGCAGTACGCTAGCTAGCTGCTTGGGTGTTAGAGGACTTGAAAATCATTGAAGAAAAGTGTCTGCTGTTAGATTTCAAACACCAAAGTCCAAACACTAAACAAGAAGTGGTAAGTTGTTTATTTTTCGTTTCTCATTTACTCAATATTGTTATCTATAAACTAATTGCATCTTATACAGATCTGAATCTGTTTTTTTCTTTTAAATCTCTGTGCTTTGTATAAATTTTGATGGTCAGTTTTTGGATTCGGTGTAAGTCTCTGTACCAATTTATGTGATGTAATTTGACAACAAGTTTAAGCAAAAAACGTTTTTTGAAATTTGTTGGTCTAAATTAAGTATGTTTGTCGGATTAAACCATTTAAATTGTTATTGAATATAGAAATTTGTTATTCTTTTTTAAAATGATTAAAAAACTCAGTATCTTTTGAGCTCAAATTAAACCTTAACTCAACAAGATCCATTTTAAATTTCTTCAAAGTTTCAAAACTTCAACATCCTTTTAATGGTAGAATTTTCTCCACAACTCCAAATTACTTGAAATTTTGAACATAGAATCAAAAAACACTAGAGAACATATGTAGTGTCAAAAACAACAACAAAAACACGAATTAAAACAGATTTTTGAAATTTTGGAACCGATTTCCATTTTTTTGGATTTTTTTTAATATGGGTGGATTTTTTTTAACTCCACAAATAATTTTAAAATTTTACCTCTATATATATATATATATATATATAATTAATGACGTGACCGAAATTTGAGGTGATTTAATGAAGAATTGAAAGAAGTTGAAAATTTGAGAGTTTTTGTTCTTCATGTGTTCTTGAGAGAGAAAAAGCAAAAAAGTACATTTGATCCAAAATCCTAATTGATAAGTGTTAAAAGTTGTTTGGGGTCTTGTTGAAGTAAAAAACGGTTCTGCAAAATTGGAGTTAAAAGAATAATGGCATAGATGAACCTTTTCTCAAATGACAATGACATAGATGAGCCAAACTTTTAACTGATGACACAAATAAGTTATTTCTCAAAGTTCGATGATATATTTGAGTATTTTTCCTAAAAAATATAACCAATTGCTATAAAATTAATATATTGGGCACTTGCATGTCACGGGCTATTGTAACTACCTTATATAAAATATTGGGCACATGCATGTAATATTAAAATAATAATCATAAATAATAACATTAGATTTGGTGAGTAATTGATAACAATGGTTATTCTACTTATAATATAAATGAGTTAACATAAAAATCTATAAGTACTTAGATTAAGAAAAATAAATATTATACATAATATAAAAGATATTACATCGATGAAAGAAATATCAAGGATAAAATAAATATTTTTAAGATAAATAAAAAAATGTGTGTTATTGTTAGTTAAGGGAGGAATTTGATTTTAAGGGATAATGCATAAGAACCCCTAAATTATTTTTAAAATAGAATAAATACACCCTAAATGCTGACGTGACATAGAGAATGTGTACTCTCTTTGAAGGCAAGTGAACAACGAAAAAATTGAATAAGGTGTGTCATTGTAATTTAGGGGATACTTGTGCCTTCTCTCGATCTTTTAAGCAAAATTGAGAGGGTAAATAATTTTGAACCATTAAATCTTACTCATTAATTTAATTTATGCAATTGTCCCAGTTGAAGTTAAAAATAGGACAAATGAAGAGAAAATGGAAAGGATACAATAGTCTCACTCTACACATGATGTAAATATCCATATAAAAACATAGGTTCGTGGATAAGCTTGCGATCAAGCCAGCATTACAAGTAGTTCAAGCACGTAACTTGCAGGTAGCCCATGCAGAAAACTTACAAGCAGGAAGAGGTGTCATGATGTGTCGTAGATGACGCATCATGGACTTCTCCTTTTAGCCAATAGCTTCTTTTTATCTATAAATATGAAGTCAGTTTCATAGTTTCATTTGTATAAAAGGAGACGCACAATAACTTAAGTTGTACGGACTCTTCACTTTCGATGCCACACCCGTGTCGGATTCTCCAAAAATATACTACTTTTAGAGAATCCGAAACACATCTGTTGACATTTTTTAAGAGTCCAAGCAACATAGACAATGACTATCTAAAGACGCTGCACGGAAAGACTTTTCAGTCTCTCGTCTTCTCATCCAAATCTCCAGTGTTGTGGTAAAATTATAGCTTCCTCAAGCTTCTGTTTTGTGTTTCCATGTACATGCTTCCTCTATTATACATAGTTGCAATCGTTCTAGATTGTATATGTTCTAGATTCCTCAATTAGTGTATATAGTTGCAATCGTTCTAGATTGTTATATGTTCTAGATTCCTCAATTAGTGTTTATTTAGTTTTACTTGTGTATATGTTTTCAACTTTGCCACAGCTTGCCCAGTCAAAGACTAGATTCCTTTATCTATTAATGGTTGCAGTCCACCATGAGAAGCAAGTATTCCAAGGAACGAACTTACATAAGTGATACTACGAGTTATCGCATTCCTGTTGAAAGTAGTCGAATTTCTTTTGCAGCTTTGCAGGAAGCAACAAACAACTTTAATAAGAACTCGTTAATTGGATTGGGTGGCTTTGGGACGGTTTACAGGGGTGTTCTGTGTGATGGCACAAACGTGGCCTTGAAAAGGTGTAAACTTCAGTCCTCGCAAGGTATTGAAGAGTTCCAAACAGAAATTGAGATGCTCTCTCACTTCCGCCATCCCTATCTGGTTTCACTGATTGGATATTGTGATGAAAATAATGTGACGATTCTAATTTTTGAGTACATGGAGAATGGGAACCTCAGTAGACATTTGTATGGGTCATATCTACCCACTATGAGTTGGGAGCAGAGACTAGAAATATGCATTGGGGCAGCCAGAGGTCTTCATTACCTTCATAACAACGCAGTAATACATCGTGATGTCAAGTCTACAAACGTATTGCTTGATGAGAATTTTGTGGCAAAAATTACTAATTTTGGACTATCCAAGATAAGGACTGAGCTTGATCAAACCCATGTTAGCACAGTCGTGAAAGGAACTTTAGGCTACCTTGACCCTGAATATCTTACACGGGGAAAGCTGACAGAAAAATCTGATGTTTATTCTTTTGGTGTTGTTTTATTCGAAGTTCTTTGTGCTAGGCCTGCCATAGGTCATTATATTTCGAAGGAGATGGTTAGTTTGGCTGCATGGGCAATTGATTCACAGAAGAAGGGACAGTTGGAACAAATCGTAGACCCTAATCTTGCAGCCAAAATAAGACCAGAATCCCTCAGGAAGTTTGGAGAAACAGCGGTGAAATGCTTAGCTGATTCTGGTGTTGATAGGCCATCTATGAGTGATGTGCTGTGGAATCTGGAGTATGCACTTCATCTCCAAGAACCTGTCATTCAAGATGATCCTGAAGAAAACAGTACCATTCTTATTGGGACAAATCAATGATGCCGGTTCTTCTGCTGCTCAAAACATCAAATTCCACTTAGGTTCATGAATCATATGAAGATTTATTTTTTGTTTTTGTAACAATTTAGTTACCAAGTTCTGATTTCTATATAGAAAAGAAAGCTAACTTTGAAAACATGCATTGCTCTATTTTATTAGGGGTGTCCGGTTATTTCATATGTTGTATAATATTGTTTTCAGTAAGTTGTTAGAAAATCATTCCAGTGTATACTATCATGTTAGTTGAAGGCTTTTCAAAACATGGAAAAGTTTTGAGCCTCTGGGATACCTATATTGATCGAATTGTTGCTAGAGGCCACTATACAGAGAGGGCAGCTGCTGGAATTTTGAAGACTGTTGTGGAAGTCGTTCAGGTATAGTTTTCATCAGCTTCTTAGTTCACTATTACCTGCTGTTTTTATTACCTTTAGCTTAGGTTATCTTATTATATCCATTATTTTCAGCATAGCTTTTTCATTACTGTATTTCCTTTTCATATTGTTTTTATATATGTGTTACTTATGCTGAGGGTCCATTGGAAACAACCTCTCTACCTTCACAAGGTAGGGGTAAGGCTGTGTACACGCTACCCTCCCCACACCCCACTTGTGGGACTATACTGAGTACGTTGTTGTTGTAGTTCACAATTGATGACATTTGGTTTTTATGTAGTAACTTGTGGTGCTTCTTTTACTGAGTTCTTCAAAGCTTTTGTATGGGTTTTGTATCATGATGGAGGTATCCTGTCTTGTTGTTTCGGGTTTTTGTTAAAGAAGTCTGGCAATTTCCAATCAAAAAGAAAATTATATCTTAATAAGAGAAACCTAATTGTGAGCAGAAAGCAATTTCAGGGTGAAATGTGAATATTCTTGGTGAAGTCAGAAATGCATTTTATTCTTTTCTAAGTCACAACAAATTTTACTGTCTAGCAATTTCTTACATTTCAATATTAAAGTTTCATCAACATTATACTATACACATTCATCATACGACTGTCAAGTGTAGTTCCATCTACAAAGATGATGAAACGATAGAACCCATGATCCGAATCAAAAAGTATGTGCTTTTCTGATTGTGATTCGGCCAGTAATCCTGTACTGTAACTCTGTTGTTTTGATGATCCTGAAAAACAATGAGACCTGGTCCCATGAGTCGTGCATGTTCCTGGGACAAATGGGGAACAGCGGTAAAGCTGCCAACATTGTTATGGTTGGTGAGCATGGGAAAAGAGGACAAAGCTCTCAGCCAATGGGAGACACTAAGTTGTTTCGTTCAGAGGATAACATACCTTTATTGACATGAAACGACCTAGTTTACACACTCAAGTATCAAGCACAAAGTGTATTTTGTCTCTCTCAAGAAGAACACAAGCTCTGAAGAACTAACTGCAAGAGACCTCGTAGAGTTATCAAGTGTATCTTTAGTTGTTGATCAAGAGTTTGTGTCTTGTGTGTTTCAACTTGTAAGATTCGTTCCTAATCTATAAAGGAATAGATCGTGTCTTTATCTTTCCAACCAACAATGAGCATAGTTAGAGTTAACTGTGTAATATGTAATTGAAGTCCATATTAGCTAGTCAAGTACTATAATAATTTACATGTCTTACCTCGTGATTCATTATCTGAAACAGTTGTACCATATGGATTCAGGTGTATTTACATGATAATGTTTTATATTTTCCTTTCTAAATTTATTTTTAATGTTTTTGCAGTGTAGAAAACAAGAGAAAAAAAATATATCGTCTTTAATTTGCATGCTACTGATTTTTCTTCTTTGCAAGAAAACATAATAACTCCACTTGTTCTAGAAATACACAAAACATCTCTTGCTCAAGTAGAATCTTTTACTATAGTTGTTGTTACTACTGAAAATAAAAAGTTGATCTGCTGTTCCAAACTAGAAACTTAAGAACTCTGCAGAACTTAAGAAAGATGAGTGATGTTTGGCATAAAATACATACATTTAGCCGTTAATTATATGTCTTTTGAGTTATTTTCCGCCTTGTCCGTGTGTGACGTGGGCCACAATGCGCCAGCATTGCACGAAGTGATGGGGGGCGATGCTGGTGGAGTTGATGAAAAAGTGCCCGTGCGATGCGGGCTGCATCACGTTACAATGGAGAAAATTGATGAGAAGAAGAACATGTTTATGAGGGCTTGTTTGATATACTTTTTTTTATGCTAGAGAGTAAGTGTTTGTTATGAATCAGGCCCAGCCCAATAGGGATACCAACAAGGATATCACACAAATAGATATTGGGCCGAGTAAACTCAATCGAGCCAGGCCTTCACAAAGGATAATTTGGGATCCATACTAAGGGTACGTTTGTTGTAGTTGAATAGATTAGGGCATCACTTTCAGAGGGCATCGAATGAATTATGTGCAAAGGCATTTCTGTGTTCTCATCCCCAATTCTAGAGTATGAGTTTTCATCTCCATTCTTATTTCTATCCTTACTTACTTGTTATTTCAATATTTCCATTGTAATTCGGAAGTTTGATTATTGCAATTAGAATCTTAAAGTTATAACAGTGTTCCAGTGCTCTTATCAATATAGTGAGGATTTCGGTTTGGTAAAGTGCTCGTTTAGTAGTAGAGTGTATTAGCAAAAATAATGTATGTATTAACTTTGTGTGTTAGTAATATCTTGTTTGATGTACTTTTTTATGCTATTTCTATTGTGTATTACTAATACCATGAATTTCTATGTATTAGTAATGCAAGAGGTTTTAATGCATCCATTAACATGGTTATAGACCGTATTGCCCCTCAAAATCTTTGTTAGTGCATCTTTTCCACTTTAACTGTGAATGATATTTTGTAAATAATTTTTTTTATGCAATATATGTTATTTTTAATACAACAAACCAAATATTATGATATATTTTAGGGAAAAGGATAAAAAATGTCCTTAAACTATATGAAAGGAACAAAAATGCCCTCAGTTTATAGTTTGGCTCAAAAATGCCCTTACCGTCAATACTTTGACTCAAAAATGCCCTTTAAGTCAATACTTTGATCCAGAAATGCCCTTTAGTTATAAAATGAGTCAAAAATGCCCTATTCCATGTAAATATATTATATTTTTTCTTTTTAAACACATCTTCTTCCTGATTTAAATATTATTAAAGAACACTATTCTTGTTTTCTTTTAGAATCACTTTAACAAATAAAAATGTAGGAAATATTTTTTTCTTCTTAATCTCACTTTATCAATTAAAATAGAATAACTTCATATATCCTTTCGACAGCTAATATATGTCATATATATAAGATCATAGTATATTCATCATTAATTTATATTTATATAATAATAAAAAATAGTGAAAATAAAATAAGAAATATTTTCATTTTTTATTTTTTTCTAAATTGAAGTAAGATAAACATTTGCTAATTTTTAAAAAAAAACATTATTAGAAAACAAATGTATTAAAAAGAAAATAATAATATATCTATTTGGAAAATGAGCATTTTTAACCCATTAAATAATAATAAGAGCATTTTTGGACCAAACTACAAATGGAGGGCAATTTTGAACTAAATATTGACGGTAAGGATATTTTTGAGTCAAACTATAAACAAAGATCAATTTTATTTCTTTCACATAGTTTAATGACATTTTTCACCCTTTTTCCTATATTTTATTATAAATATAAATTTTCAATCAAATAAAATATAAATTTAATTTGTAAATTTCTAACGACCCCTCAGCTGATGAAAGTCAATCAATCAGTCAGTCTACCTTTTTAATATTATAACTGTTGGAAAATGAACTCAACCATTCATCAATTATCTTAGGGAGAAGACCAGTATGAACTCTGAGCTCTTAGATCTTATGGGTTAGTAATTTCTCTCTGATTTTCATAAAATGAAAGAAGAAATTGCAAGTATTTACTTTCTTTTACTTTGTTAGTTGCAGGACGCTAGCTAGCTGCTGCTTGGGTGTTTGAGAACTTAAAAATCATTGAAGAAAGGTGTTTGCTGTTAGATTTCAACCACCAAACACTAAACGAAAAGTAGTAAGTTATTTATTTTCGTTTCTAAGTTACTCAATATTCTTATCTGTAAACTAATTGCATCTAATACAGATCTGAATCTGTTTTTTTCTTTTAGATCTCTGTGCTTTGTATAAGTTTGATGGTCAGTTTTTGGATTTGGTCTATGTCCCAATTTATGTGATTTAATTTGACTTGACATGAAGTTTAAGAAAGAAAAATGTCTATTGAAATTTGTTGGTCTAAAATAAGTACTCCCTCTGTCCAAGAATACTTGTCTACTAGTGATTTTGCACTCTTCTTAAGAAACTATAAATAGAAGAATAATTTTATTATATCAACCTTTGAATATAATAAATATAATGTCTTAAAAAATATAATAGGGAAATGACTGTAATTAATGATAAGAGTAAATTAGGAACTAAGTGTAAAATTATTCATTGATTTCATAAAGTGGACAAGTATCATTGGACATCCTAAAATAGTATAATGAACAACTATTGTTGGACGTAGGGAGTATGTTTGTGTGACTATAAATAAAATATACATTTTTTAAAGTTAAAGTGTCATTACATATAGAAATGTGTTATTTTTCCCTTTTTAGAATGACTAAAAATAAAACTGAGAGTCTGTTTGGCATTGTTGTTGGAAGAAAAAAAACATTTTTGTTGAAAAATTAAGTGTTTGGCAAATCAATAAAAGTATTTTTAAATGGAAGCAGAAACAGTTTTTCTGTTATTGGGAAAAAGCTAAAAAAATTTGACTTTTAAAAGAACAGAAGTAGAAACAAAAAATTATTTTTCTCAACACTAAAATATTTGATATATACATATTTACCAATATATTTCGTATTAATATTAGCATATTTCATAAATTTGGTCAAATTTCATTTAAGAATTTTATTTTTTATTTTTATATAATAAATCTTATAATTTATTTTACGTTTATATATTATTATTTTATATATTATACAATACTTTGCGTACTATTTTGTAGAATTAGAAA